TCTCCGTGGCTGCTCAGCTGCTCCAGTCCCCCTGCTTAACCCACTAGCCACCCCTGAGCCCCAGGGAGCAGGGCTAGTGTTTCTGTCCACATTCATGACAGTGTCCGTGACAATGTGTGTTCTTGGGTGTGTAGTGTGTGTATGTATGTGTATGTGCACACTGCACTTGAATGTGTCTGAGTACCTGCTCATACCCCACCTGTGCTGTGAGAGCATCCATATGCATAGTGACCGTGTCTACTCTGAGAGTGCATGTGCCTAGGGCCCCAGGTATTTTGGTGGTCCACTCTGTTCTGAGTCAGCCCAGCCGTGCAGAGGTTGTCGCTCCAGGGACCAAGTGAGAGCTTGTCTGGAGCCTCACACACGTGTGTGCACACACTCTTTGCGTCCCACACAGGCACGCACTGGGGTGGTGGACAGCCCAGGTGGCGGCCCAGATGGAGTGGGGAGCAGCTTCTGAGTGAACACGCAGGGCATGGGGAGAGGAGGGTCTTGGCCAAGCTCAGCCACTGCAGGCTCAGCTGTTGACCTGCCTGAAGCCACCCAGATGGAGCCAGGCTGAGCAGGTGGCTGTGCCATGGGGCCATGCTGTGACGTCCACGCCCCCCAGCCTGGTCTGGCCCCACGTGAGGCTGACCCCCTCGGAGACCTCCAGTACCCAGCTGACACCCTGCTGGAGAAGAAATACACACGAATGCGTGCGCGCGCGCGCACACACACACACACACACACACACATGCGCGCACACACACATACACACACACACACACACAGCATTAACCAGAGACTCAGGGCCTTCTGCCAGTGGCTTTTCTCTTGGCTTCCCGGCATGGGCAGGGGTCTCTGGAGAGGTGAAAGACAAGGAAGGGCTGATGTCCTCCAGGAAAAGGCCTGGTCACACTTGGCTTCTTCTAGTCACTCACCAAATGCCTGTTAAGAGACAGAAACTCTGGCTCTGCCAGCGTGGGAGATAGGCCTGGATGGAATCACCCTAGAACTGGGCCTGCTCAGGGCTGGCTTGGCCTGGGTCAGAGATAAATTACAGGAAGCATGGTTAAACTTATTTATTTGCAACAAATACTTTTTTAATGTACGCTCAAAACATTGGCTAAATCATGTTTATAGCTCAATGTCCTCTGTGTATTTATAAATACATAAAAAAGTATTTGCCATCTACCTGAGTCATATATAACTGGGCATCCTGCATTTTTGCCAGCTACACCTAGAAGTGTACGTGGAGAGGAACTGAAGGATGAGGCAGGGAGGGCAATCTAGGCCACGGGGCTGCACATGCAAAGACCAGAGAGACCCAGTCTGCAGGGTGAGGGTGGTGCCATGCCCAGCTCCTACCCCTGAAGCTGTGGGAGCTGACAGAGACTCTGACTGAGGCCCTCTCATCTGCAGGTGGCCATGGTGCCTGGGCCTGTCTGCTAGCAGGCTGCCATGTCCCGAGAGGCAGGCTCATGCCGCCTGGGCCCTGGGGCACGGGCCCGGGCCCGGAAGCCCAAGAAGCCGCACTACATCCCGCGGCCTTGGGGCAAGCCCTACAACTACAAGTGCTTCCAGTGCCCATTCACCTGCCTGGAGAAGTCGCACCTATACAACCACATGAAGTACAGCCTCTGCAAAGACTCCCTCTCGCTGCTACTTGACTCCCCGGATTGGGCATGCCGCCGCGCCCCGGCTGCACCCCGCCCCAGTGAGCCCATCCCAGACCACCCTTCTGACCCCACGGACCCAGGCAACCATCCCCAAAGAGCGCAGCTCCCGGATGCTCCCTCCACACCCAACCTTGTTGGCACCGACGTCCTCTCCCTGCACCGCTGTGTTGGGGGCTCCAAACTGGGGGCTGAGGGGTCCCCAGGAACACCATCCCTTGTAGCCAGAGATGCCCAGAAGGGTGCGGGCCTTGGTGGGCTCTTGGCTGAGTCGTGGAAGCCAGGGCCAGGCAGGGGACCCAGGAGCATGGTTGTGGTGGACTCAGTGGGTCCTGAGAACGGTGTCCCCTGTTATCCCCCACCTACCTCCAGCGAGTTCCCTGAGGCCCAGAGCCTCCAGCTGTCCCTGCTGGGTGTCAACTACCCTCTGAGCCCCAGCCTCTTCTCCTACCTGGGACCCTCCCTGGCCGCTGCAGCCCACATGCCCTTCCTCACCTCTGCCAGCCCGCTCCTGCCCCCGGCCACTGCCTTCCCTGCCCCACAGCCTCCCGAGCACCCAGCCCCAGTCCCCCGCCTATACTACCCTCTTCTCCTAGAACATAGTCTGGGGCTGCCAGCAGGCAAGGCTGCCCCTCCCAAGCCCCTGGCCCCTCCCAAGGGGGCCCCTGGGATTCTTGCCCCTGGGCTACTGAGGATGCCAGTACCTGGGCTGGGTGGGCCCTGGCCCTGTGGTGCTCCCAGGGACTCAGGGCAAGAGGGGAGGCTGGAGCTGGCGGCCCAGAGTGATCCCAAGAGGAAGCTGCCCCTGGGAATCAGGCTGGAGCCCCCGAAAGCCCCCTCCAACATGGGCAAATTTGGTTCCCAGAACAGGTAAGTGTCGGGGCCCTCAGTCACGGGTGGAGGTTGATGTTGGGGAAGAAGGGCTGGGCAGGGTGGCTGGGCTCCCGTCTTCAGGTCAGTGGCCGGGAACATGGGGTTCAGGTCACAGAGAGGACACTGAGACCAGAGAGTTAACCTATATGTCCTTTTGGGTTCCCGAGGCCTAGGCTGGGGTGATAGGCTGGACAGGGGGGCATAATGGGGAGTGGGTCAAGGGCTGGGGGCACTGGGGGGAGCAGCACAGCCTCCTGACCGGCTCCTTCCCCTTAGCCTGCGGACTGGCCCCTCCGTGATGCTCTGGCCTGAGGACAAGGAGCCAGACGACCCCGAGACCATGGGCCCTGTGTCCCCCCTGCCCCAGCAGCCACCAGGCCTGGTGCTGGGGGGCCCTGGGCATGTGGGTGAAGACCTGACACGGGTCCTCGGTGACTATGCTAAAGTGGAGCAGCGCCTGGGGCAGTTGGCACCTGCCAGGGGCCTGGCCCCACGGCCTCTGCGGGAGCAGTTGGGCAAGATTCGCCGGGAGCTGCTCACCATCCATCAGGCACTAGAGTGGGCCGTGAGGCCCCCGGACGTGCCCCTGGATCTCTCCGTGAAACGGGCGCCCTCCAAGCTGCCCGAGGTACCCTCGGGGGCCTGGGAGCAGCCAGAGCTGGGCCCCACACTGGCCCGGGGGACCCCTGAGCCACCCAGAATGCTAGGCCCCACAGTGGCTGAGCCTTTCTCTAGCCATACCACCAAGTGTGAGGCTGACTCCAGTGTCCCGCCCCCAGGTCTCCCCCTCCAAGGTCCAGATGACCCTGTCATTCCTGGAAGTAGCTGGGGACACCGTGGCAGGACTGGGGGCTCCTGGCCCCCTGAGGCTGCACCTGGCCTGCAGAGCCCCCCAGGTGCTGAGGTCTGACTACAGCTCCTGCTGCTACCTCTGTCCTTAAAAGACAGGGGCGCTTTCCCAACCCCGTGCCCACTGCCTGGCCCCCTACCTGCCTCAGCCCCGGGGGTGAGGCCTGGAGCCTGCCCAGCATGCCCGTGGACAGATCCCACCCACCATGGCCGTGGCCTGTCTCTGAGGCCACACAGGGACAGCAGAGAGTCACGGCTTTTTGTCGATCACAGTTGTGGACATTAAAATAGAAGCCACCTTCACACACCCGTCTGGGCCTCCTCCTTCCCTTGCTGTTCCAGCATCACCACTGGAACACCTTTCCCCTGGGCCTCCTTGGGGCGGGTAGAGTCTGGGGACAGAGTAAGGGACTTTCCATCAGAGCAAGGAGAGTTGGGGAGGCAAGTGCTTTTGTCCGGGGGCTGGTCAGGCCTGTGTTTCAGCACACTGGTGGTGGGCAGGGCCCTCCGGGCATGCCTCCAGCCCTTGTCTAGTAGGGCAGCCCTAATGTCAGATTCATGCTGGAGGCTGCTCCCACTGTGGTTAAATGATGCCCCCTATATTCTGTGGCCCAGGGCTGCTCACCCAGCGTGGCCTCCACTGGGCTCCCGCCAGTCCCTGCAGCCACGATAGGCATCGGATGGCCTTCACAGCTCACTGCCTTCCTCCCACCTTGGCAGGACTTGGCCTTTCCCACAGGCAGGGGTGAGGGGCAAGTAGGGAGGGGTGCCCAGGGGACCCTTGGACCCAGCTAATCACTTCTTTCCCTGGGAGCTGGCCACACCTCTGTGCCACTTAGGAATGGCCTCTGGGAAGGCAGTTCCTGCCTGAGCCTGGCTCCCCAAGCTGGGCCGGCCAGGCTGGGGCCAGTCGGAGCAGGACCTGTGGCTGCCCCATTAACCGCACTGGGCAGCAGATAGCATCGGCCACCCGCCCCACCTCAGGGCGTTAAGAAGCAGTGTCCAGAGCAGGAGGTACAGGCTGGGCAGGTGGGGAAGCGCAGAGGCTGACCCTCCCTCCCCCAACCGTCCAGGGTCTTCCTAGAGGGGCTACAAGGAGCTGTGAGCTGAGTTAAGAGGTGGCCAGAGAACCTCCAGGTCCTGAGTTCTTGGCCTCCCATTGGCTGGCACCTACTCCTGTCTACCACTCCCCAGCTTCTCATCAGATGTGAGCCTGGTCCTGCTGAGGGGCACTACTCCAGCTTTACAAGTGCAGAAATGGGATCAGAGAGACAGGACGCAACCTGTCCAGTCTGGGGGTTGGGGGTCAAGACAGATCTCTGGAGGTCCTTAACTCTGGACTCTGGTTCTGGTAGGAGATGGTAGGTGGGGTTGCCTCATGCTCAGACATTTCCTCAGAGCCTCCTCGCATTGCAGAGGGGTAGGAAGTATCGATGGTTGTGGGGGCCTCCCTGGGGAGGGTTCAGCTGGGCTGACCATGAGTGGCATCCAGCAAAGCAGGGGCAACAGGAAGAATGTCTTGGAGGCCAGTGCAAGGGCCCCAAGGCAGAAATGTAGCAGCACTGGGGAGTCCCTGGGGTTTAGCAACTGAGTGACAGGATTCCATAGGGCCCAGTAGCTCTACCTGTCCCCTCCCATCTCACCCACATCAGGGTGGCCCCTCCCACTCCTTCAGGTTCTGGTTTCCAACAACAGAAGCTGCTACAGGAGCAGGGAGCAGGGCCGAGGGCCTGGTCCCAGGTAGGAGCCCCTTCCCGCTGGCCTCCCTGGGTAAGGGTAGGCAGAGAGGCCTAGGACAGGACTGCTGCCTCACCCCTCAGGGGTTGGAAGTCTCCAGAGTCTGTGTGGGGGCAATGGGTAGGGGCTTGGGCTGCCCCCAAGATGGGTCACTTTCTCTGCCTATAAAAAGGAAGGGTTCCATGGGCAGATGAATTTGAGAAACACTGCTTATCTGTCACACACCCACACCCCTACCTCAGGACATCTCAATGCCTATGAGCTCATTCAGGCCTCAGAGCAAAACCCATGGTAACTTTCATGAGTCTGTCTCCCAGAATCGTGTTCCAGGACATCTGGGAAAATGGGACCTAGAGACACGGCTCACTACTGGGCTTGCTGGCTGGGCCAGACTTCCTGGTAGAACTGAGTTCAAAATCCAGTTCTTCCACCCCCACCTTCATGCCTCATTTTCCTCATCTGTAAAACAAGAAGACACCAGTACTGCCTGGAAGGACACGGGGGACCGAGGTAACTGGTGCTTGATGTACAGTGGGGCATTCTTTCTCTTGCAGCCCTAAACTTGGCCCAACCACAGAAACTTGCCTCGGAGGCTGAGCCGGCCCGCCCACCCTCTGGCCTCCTGCTCTGACCTCCTGGGCCTCCCCCATCAGCTGGCCAGCTGGCCCCAAAAGCCTGCACCTCATGCTGGACCCACCTGGAGACCCCGCTCACTCCTGGCAGGCCCGGCTGCTCAGGCAGATCCCAGTGCCTGCAGGGGCTGGAGGGGGCCCCCGGGGCCTGCACTGCTCCCCGGATGGCTTGCTCTTCCTGACAGCTGGGGCTGCTCCCTGCGTCTATGTGCTGGACCTCGAGGGACGCTCCGTCTGCCACCTGCCCTGCCGGGTGCCAGGGTTCGGGGACTTTGTGCCAGAAGACGTGGCTGTGACAGCTGCTGGGCTTGTGGTGGTCAGCGACCTTGTCCATGGGGCTGTCCACGCACTCCAGCACACTGCTCGAGCCCCCCAAGGCTGCTGGGTGACAGTGGGCACCTTCCTGGCCCCCTGCGGGCTGGCTGTGGACGCACTTGGCCGCTTCCTGGTGACGGACTATGTGTCTGGGGCTGTACACAGCTTCACATTGGGCCCCACCCTAGAGCAACTGGCCCCAGCCTCCATGCTAGGTCTAGAAGGCCCCTGCTGGGTGGGTCTGGGGCCCAATGGAGGCTTTGCAGTGAGTGAAGAGTTTGGGGATGTGCGGCTCTTCGGCAGTGCCCGCCAGCCCCTGGGTTCCCTAGGCGGCCTGAATGGGCATGCCTTTGGCAGCCCCGCAGGTGTATGCACTGATGCAGAAGGTAGTGTTATTGTGGCAGATGAACAGCGACGCCAGGTGATCTTGTTCCCCCGGGCTGAATCACCCATTTGCTTGGTGTCCAAGGGGCTCAGGCGGCCCTTAGGTGTGGCCTGTGTGCCCCAGGGCCAGTTTGTGGTTGCGGATGCAGGGGACAGCTACATCAAGGTGTACCAGTACCACTCAGAGCTGGCCTGACCTGGTGAGCTCAGATGGCAGCAGCCCCTTCACTGTGCATGGGTCCAGCCACCAGGTCCCGGACCACCATGAGAGGAACATTCAGGGCGGTGGAGTCCTCCAGGGCTGCTGGCCATACCTTCCTGAACCTGCACATTTGCTGAGCACCTAATGTGCCAGACCCTGGGCTGGCCTCCTGTCTTCCTCTTGGAGAGGATTCAGACTTCGTCAGCAGCCACAAATCAACTGCCTCTCCGGCTTCCTTTGCAAGGTTCACAACCTCCAAAGTTGGTTCTTCTCCATGCCCCAGTTCAGTGTGCCCCAGAGCTCCCTGCCCCCATGTCCACTCAGGCCTTGGGCCTGCTGGCTCAGGGCCCAGGAGGCCTGAGCATTGGAGCCAGCAGCTGAAGCCTGGCAATCTTTGGCATGTTGAACCAGCTTCCAGCACTTACCCGGGCAGGATATCTGCCCGGTGCCTCAGCCCCAGTCTCCTAATCAGACACAGGCATGCAGGGAGGGTGTGGCTGGGCTGCGTCGCGCTAGGCTGGGTGGCTTAGGCAGGGGTGGAGCCCCTTCCTGTCCCCCATCTTCAGAGACACCCCAGGTTCTGAGCTTCCTGCAGCTTCTCTCAACCCAACTGAGGTAAGGGGGATGCAGGGGGTTGCCCTGGAGGCACCATGGGGTGGCACATAGCTGGGTTGAGAGCCTCCATGCCCCTGGCCACTTCTCCCATTTGAGACTGTCTCACAAGCTATCTGATCTTTTTTTTTTCTCCTCTGTCGAACCAACACCAAACAGCTCCAAGCTCATGGATGGGGGTGCTGTGAGGGTTCTGGGAGGTGGTCAAGTCTAGGAGAGCCTTCCTATGAGGACAGACTCCTGATACTTAAAAACAGCTCATTTGGGGAAATGAGGCCCCAAAACAGTAGGGAGGTGTAAGGTTACTCAGTAAGTAAGGTTAATTAGTAAGTTAGGAAGTAAGGTTACTCAGTAAGTAAGGTTTCTTCCTATGAGGACAGACTCCTGATACTTAAAAACAACGGGGAAATGAGGCCCCAAAACAGTAGGGGGGTGTAAGGTTACTCAGTAAGTAAGGTTACTTAGTAAGTTAGTAAGTAAGGTTACTCAGTAAGTAAGGTTACTCAGTAAGTTAGTAAGTAAAGTTACTAACCTTACTTACAGGTGTAAGGTTAGTCTGGAACTCAGCCAGGCTCCTAGTTCCAGCTAGGGGTTTTCAGGAAGAGGGGACAGTGCTTGGTCCTGCCCCTGAGGGCTGGTGAGGGGATGCTCCTGTTTATCACCAAGACATTGGGGTCCGTGGTTTAGACCATCACCTCTGATAAGGTTCCCTCCATATGTCCCGGGCCCTGTGGGTGGGAGAATTAGATGGGTCAATGTAAGGAGGCATGTGCAGTAGGTGTTCAATAAACATTAACTGTTACTACTGGCGTTAGGGGTATTGTTCCCTGGAGCAGGAGGGGCCAGAGACACCTCCTGATGATCAGATCATAATGTTGAAGCCTCTGAGCTGGTCCACCAGGGCCCAACAACTTCCTAGCCTACCTGTCCCTAGGGGCACCTGGGGGTGCCCCTCTGCAGAGACCAGCTAGTGAGGGGGCCAGCCTGGAGCTGAGGAGACAGCTCTTTCTGGGATCCCATGTAGGCCTGGGGGTTCTTTCACCCTGGGAGGGTGGGGGCAAGGCAAGGTAGAGGACCCTCACAAGCCAGGTCCACTGGGTTCCTTAGATGAGGAAATTCTGGAAGGTTGGTAGCTGTGGGGGATTGGAAGGCAGGAGTGTTGGGGACGCTGCTGATGGACTGGAGGGGGACAAGGACAGTGGGGGGACCAAGGATGCAGCGGGTGGTGGTGGAAGATAAGGACGCTGCGCACAGTGTGGAACGAGGGCGCCGAGCACGCAGGTCTCTGGCTCCAGGGACGGGAACGTTGAGTGCACGGAACGCTCGGGCAAGGCCGGCGGGCAGCCCGGGCGCCTTTGGGGGCCGGACCGTCGCGCGGCAACGTCGGGATAATGGGGCTCGTGTCCCGCGGCGCGGCCGCGGCGCGGCCGGGGGCCGCGAGCGTTGTCGTCCGCCCAGGCCCGCCCGACGCGATCCCCAACCCTATCCCTACCCTGCCGCCCAAGGGCGTGGCTCCAGGGAGCAGCCGGTGAGCATTCGCGGGGAAGGTCGGCGTCCGTACGGTGTGACCTTGGGGAGCCGACCCTCCCGGCTCTGGGCCCGGGGCTGTGGGCCCCGACTCCCCGGCCGCGGAGGGACCTGGAACAGGCGAGGGAGCGGAAGGGTCCTCCGGAGGCTTCTCCCGGGTTGGCACAGGCCTCTTGCCATTCGGAGCCTCTATCTCCTCGTCCGTAATTTGGGGATGCGTCCGGCCGCCGCCCAGGGCAAGCCTGCGACGTAGGAGGGCAGTGAACGGCCCCTGCCAGCCCACTGCCCCAGGAGCCCGTTCACCCAGATCTGGGAGGATTTGTAGCCAGGCCGCGTGGGTGCCCTTGGCAGGGAGTCTGGTCCCAACACTTGATAGGGTGAAGGGCCCCCGCCTGTTCCCTCTGATCCACCCCAACTTGGGCCTTCTGTGGACTCTTCCGAAGGTGATTCAGGGTCAGTGGAACTGGCTGTCAGCACTTTATAGTTGTCTCTGACTACAGTAAAAGGCAAAAACCAGAATTCTAGATTCATGTTCCTTTTTCTGAAATGAGAGGAGAAAATAGCAGTATTCACAAAACGTGAAAAAAAAAAAAACACACACACAAAAGATATGGAGTAAAAATGAATTCTTGAGAGACAGTGATGAGGAGGCTTCACAGAGGAGATGTCAGCCAGTGAGATGTTCCTGGCCAGTCATACCTGGGCTTTTCCCCTGGAATCTGTTGCTGCGGAGGATGAGAGGGCAATACAGCTTCTACTTCATAAGGTAGACAGGCTGATCTAGGAATGGGCTGATTCGTAAGGGAACTGGGTGTCATTTTTAACAGGAGAGGCTTTTTCAGGAGTGTGCCCTTGTTGTTGTTGTTTTTTAAATTTCAGTCTTTAAAGATGTGCACATTGCCCAAGTTACTGCCGTGCTTTCTCTCATCTGCACCTCTGTTATCGATTGCCTGCTCTTTCATCTCTTTCTAGCCCTCTGATCTAAGCAGACTTCTTTGTGTTCATCACTCCCAGAGGCTGAGGTGGAAGCGAGGATGGGAATTTGCCCCATAATCTGTTAAGAGTTCTTTCTCACTACCCCACGGATAAGAACATCAACTTCTACCCTCTGCTCTTAGACATAAGGAGCTGCTGCTTTTTTCTTTTTTTTCTTTCTTTCTTTCTTTTTTCTTTCCTTTTTTTTTTTTTTTTTGGTAAACTTTGTAGATAAAGCATAATACACATAAAGAAAGTGCACAAATTTTATGTGTACAACTCGATTTTACCCAACGTGAACAAACACACTATGTAACCAGCCTCCCTGAGAGCATCTGTTTGCTATTAGGCAAATTGTGCTTCTTTTCCGACAGTAGCCATGGGCAGTTTTCCTTAGCTCCTGAGAAAGGGGTCCCCAAGCAGGGTGTGATGGTATCATTTCTTGTCATGATATTTCCTGACAGGCTAGCACTGAGCAGCTTGGAATGTACTGGTTGGTTCACCATAGTGGTTGCCAAGCCAGATATGCCTGATCCCTCACAGGCAAAATTGCTCTGTACCTCTCACAATGCCATTGGGAGCAGCCCCTATGGAAGGGTCAGGAAGACAATTGGCCCTGGCTGCCCTTGATGATGGCCACAGGGATTCGGCCTGGGGCTGCTGTCAGGCTCCAGGCACCCACTGTTAACTGCCCTCGCTGGTCACTGGGGGAGGGGCATTTAGAGCCCTGCTGCTGCTGCTGCTGCTGCTGGACTCAGAGGGGCACTTTTCAGCTGGAACCCACAGCTGTGAGGGGACCCTTTTACAAGCTGGCCAAGAAAGGCCTCAACTCTCCAGCCCCAGGCTGAGCTGCCTGCAGAAGAGGAAAGCAGCTGTACCAGTGGCCTCTTAAAGCCTGGATGTTTGTATCTGTATGAGGCCCCTTCCAGAACCCCCTGACCCTCAGGTAAAAGCTCCCTGTTCCTCCTACAATGTCACACTGCCCCAACATGTGTGTCCCCAAGGGCCTGGTGAGCACTGGGGCCCAGAGGCCCAGACTCAGTCTAAGGCCTATGTCTCTCTCTTCTAGGGTGGCTGCTCTGCCCTTTGTGCTGATAAGATAGAGGCAGTCAGAGAAAGGGCATGTCTGAGAAAGGGCATGCTCCAAGGTGAATGCCCTCAGCACTGTGCTAGATGATGGCCTGCTGCCTCTCAGGCCCCATCTTGGAGGGGCTGAGACGGAAGAATGGGATGTTTGTTGAGAAACCCTCATTCCCAGTGAGCTTACTTTGGGGCAAGTTAAGGCTCAGCATCCCATAGGAATTACAGTTACTTGGGCTGTTCTTTCTGCTCAGAGGCCATATAAAAGTAATGAGAGGCCAGAAAGGCTTGCTTCTCTCATCATGAGAGAGGATGTTGGGGTCTCTCTAGGACCAGTTCACTTCTCCCACCTGCATTTCTAGATAGCTACTTGGTTGGAAGGATATTTCCTAAAGAAAGTGCTCGCTGTGACAAGAGGAAACACTCCCCTATTGGTACCCCTACCCTGAAGTGGACTAATAGAGCTCCGAGGGCAGGATCCACACAGCCATAGGCTGGAGGGTCAGAGTAGAAGCAGAAGCCCAGTGAGAGCTGAGCCTGTTCCCTGAACTCCAAGGCTCCTCCAGGGGTCTCATTGGGCAGGGGAGTGGGTTTGGGGCATCAGGCAGCTCCCCAGGCATCTTCTGAGATGCCAGTACCAGTGCCCACAGCTGCCAGAAGTGTGCACATGTCTAGTTTCCCTCAGCCAGCAGCAATTTGTTTAAATTTTCATCTTTATTCTTGCAAATTTAGTAAGTAAATTAAGGTTCGTTAGAGTTTTAATTTGCAGTACTTTAATTGTTAATGAGATTGTATATTTTTCCATGTGCTACACATAAAAAACTAATCAGTTTCTTTAAAAACAAAAGTTAAAACCTTTTTATCAGCTCCACACACCCCGTGAGTAGCACTAAGTAGGTCATGTAACTTTGTCTTGTTTCAGACTGCTTCTCTCTGAAATGGGGGAAAGCATTGATTTGCCTCAGGGTGGAGGAGAGGGGTGATTTGGGCCTGTGTTTACAGGTGAGAGCAGCACCCATGGGAGATGGACAGCTGGGGGGCCCCTCACCAGCCTTTTTGACCAAATTCAAAACCGGGTCACCCAAACCTGTGAGCCCTGTGGCCATGTGGACGTGTTCATCACAGTGTCTGTGCCGTACATTGGCACGTGTTCATCACAGTGTCTGTGCCATACATTGGCTATGGCCTCCAGCCACAGAGCTTCCAGCCACCCTGGGGCCATGAAGGCATAGTAGCGGCAGCAGCAGCTCTGAGCTGAGCCTCTCTTCTTTCTTCCAGTGTCCCCAGCATGGTGCTCAAGGCTTTCTTCCCCACATGCTGTGCCTCAGCAGACAGCGGCCTCCTGGTTGGACGGTGGGTCCCGGAGCAGAGCAGTGCCGTGGTCTTGGCTGTGGTGCATTTTCCCTTCATCCCCATGCAGGTCAAGGAGCTTCTGGCCCAGGTGCAGCAGGCCAGCCGAGTGAGCATAGCTGTGCTGGGCACCTGGTGCCACCGTCGGCAAGGACCCGAGGAAAGCCTGGGCCACTTCCTGGAGGGCCTGGGTGCCATCTTCTCCCACGAGCCCTGGCTCCAGCTGTGCCGGGACAGGGGCAGCAAGTTCTGGAGCTGCAAGGCCACCCGCCGGCAGGTGCCCACCTCCTTTGGTGCCCCTGGTGAGGACCAGGTCATGCTCATCTTCTATGACCAACGCAAGGTGCTGCTGTCCCAGCTACACCCACCCGCAGCCCTGCCTGACCGCCAGGCCGGGGATGCCACAGCCAGTGCTGGGGGCCTGGCTGCTGTCTTCGACACGGTGGCTCGCAGTGAGGTGCTCT